CGTCCGCCGGAACGGCTTCCGCGTATGACAGATAACGGAAGTGAGAGAAAAGTGTTTATTACGTTTGAAATATGGATATTTTTCTTACAAAAATTAATGGATTCACTACAGGAGGCCTTTATTCACCCCCCGAAGTCGTGTGAGGCACGTTTTATTATGAATGTGTGCGCTTTATTTGACGACTAATTTTCATTTTTGGGTGAAATAACCCTTTAAATTTCAGTCTATTCCTCACAGAGACATATTGTATGGCTTTAGAAAACTTGGAATATGGCACTTGTCTTTTAAGTTTTTATTGTTTTTTTTTTTTTACTTTTTGAAGCTTGACTGCCCCTGGTCCCCATTCACTTTTATTATACAGAACAGAGCAGCTCTTTTGGGTCACACAGGTTTAGAACAACATGATGGTGGGTAGGCCTAAATGATAACATTTCAGAGTGAACTATCCCTTCAGATAAACCCTGGTCTTAAGAATAACACTGATTCTCTGATGGAAATATTTTCTCATTCTGGCTTGGAATTCATGATGCAGTATCCAGAAAACTAGTCATAAGAAGGGAAATACAGCCTCATTGACCACCACATGAGTTTTTACCCTGATTTTACAATGAATGGCCATGAATGAACACCCACTAACAGACAGAGAGGACTATATTATCTGATTTATCTTCTAAAATGGGGACCAGAGACTGGAAATAAAGGCCAAGCATGTTTCATTCCTCTGACAAATGCCTACAATGCTTCAATTGGACTCTCTGGGCCTCTTCTGATTTTCACCAAATCAGACACACCAATATATATATACGGTATATATATATACACACACTGTATATATATATATATATATATATATATATATATACATATATATATACTTAAACACTATATCCTACACAGTTTCACTGCTTTAATTTAAATCAAACTTTGTGTAGCACTAAGGTAGTGCAGTGCACAATAACTGGTGGTTAAATTTCCCCTTCGACTTCCTGTGAATTGATATGTTGACTCATTCCCCATGCTATTTTGCACTCTCTAAGGTTTGGAATCTAACACAAGATGGCCGCATACCCTCTGAAGTCCACTTTGTATCAGGAGACTGGAACGTTCCAAAAATGTTTGATAAGCTATAACAATAAATATGAGACTATTACAGACTGAAAAATCACTGCCGCAAGAGGAAAACTTGTTTTGTGTAGGTCAAAGTCTGGGTGAAAGTCCCTCAGTGGTAAATGAATTAAACACACCGTCATAAACAATAAGTAAAGGTCCATAAAGTGCACTATCCATTTTTAGGAGCCCTTAAGCGCCACTATTCCTCCAGAAAATGCAGAGTGCGCATCCGACACCAATCTGAAGGGCACGGTCTAAAGTTATGACCCTTATGAGACGCCATCCCACACCATCTTTAATTTATCATGCTGACCAGTCGACATCTTGGACCTGAGCTATTGCTTATCAAACGAGGAACACCATGAGATCACACTTCACCATTTGACCAAATGGCCTCTTTTGTCATTTTGAATGAATAGGTGTAGTATTTCATCTGGATGCGCTCACTGTGGGAATAAATAATGCAGGTAGGTTGGTCTCAAGAACTGACACAACAATGGCACACAATAGTGAAAACCATTTGACACAATGTGCACTCGGCCACAAAGGCAAAACCTTATTTTTGTTGAACTCAGGCCTTGTCCTTACAATCCACTCAGTTTTAATTCAAGTTTCCACAACAAACTGATCAGATATGAACTGACGTGACTCCTCCAACCTGCTCAAATGGAGGGTCCTCCTCCGTCTACAGGGCCGAAAGTCCAAACCACAAATATAACGATAATGACACCAAAGAGCGATATTGTTAGAATTGCCTTCAGAACATTTTTTTCTAACTGATGAATGATAAAACCATTGACAACCAATCATAATCTATCCAAATTTGACGGGCTTGAGCATTTAAAGCAGCAGACAACAAAACTGCAGTGTGTGCTTAGAATAAACAGAAAGTTACCATGCATTGCTGTGGATGCTAATAACTTTATAGTTATCATTCGTGGTGTGACCTGGCCTTAAAAGTCCCACAGATTTCAACAGAACTGGAATGCTTGCCATTCACAAAGTTCTACATATCTCCTGCACATCCATGTTTTGTGTATTAAAGGAGGTCCAGTGTTGATTTAGAAGCCAATGTTTTTCAAAGCATCTTCTTTTGTGCTCCACAAAAGAATGAAAGCCACACAAATTTGGAACGACATGGTGGTGTCAATGAGAAAATATTTATTGAATGGTTGATTTTCATCTTTAAATACTTTGGCCAACTTGATTATTCAGACATCTAATTTCTTTTTACCATGTTTAAATCCAATCTATCCCAAATAAATCTAAAATTAGCACAAAAAAGTCAAATTCTGTCCATCTAGGCCTGGTGACGGGTTACATCACAACTAAAATCACCATAGACACATTAGGGGACACGTCACCCACCCATTATTATGATTTAAAGTTGTAATGAATCTTAAATAGCGACAGATTTTTTCTTCCGTATTTTGATGTACATCCAAGTCTAATGGCTTGGAAAATGGAAAAGAAAAAATGTAGGGCGGGTTCTATGCATCGGTTGCTGATTGGCTTTTGAGATGGAGGCAGATGAATGTGAGCTTGCAGGGGTGATGTTTAAGCAGAGTAAATGATTGGTGAAGTCCTGCATACGTCACCAGAGAGTAGTCTGATGTTTTCATCCAGGAGATCTGGTTATGACATTTTAATTTTTAAATTATGTCGTCCAAAAAATGTAAAAATTAAACGCATGCACGGATGAATAATTTACAATAAGATCTAAAACATGCATTTTTTTCCCATGCCGATCTATCAAAATGGGTTTTTCAAATTTAGACTCTTAACCCTTACATTTATGTCCCATAATCGTAAATATTTGTATAAATTCTTGTTTTACTTGGCATTCTACTATACTATTTGATGATTAACTGACCCTTAAGTGTCAACCAGATACACCACAGGGCTAGAAATGGGGTCAGGCAGTCATGCAATGTCATGAATCCACTTAGACCTTGCCAAGGATCTATCAGGACTGAATGGGATGAGGGGGTGGTTTCCAAAGCAGAGAAAATCTTTAAAAAAAGATTCCAAGCCATACAGCACGCTCTCCATCACACTGACCCACAGGAAACAACATTAAGATGAGAGCAGACAGACTCGTTTGGTTGGAGACATGACACCCAAAGCGTGTTCTGACATCAACCCAGTGCAACAGCATTTTGTCTGGCAAGCTGTCAAACCCCAGTTATGACCCATCAGCATGTGTCATCCAGCACAGCCACATCAGCAGGACTCATCTCAGCCTTTAAAGCACGATTCGTGTTAGCAAGCATCGAAATGTAAAGCCCGTACAAGTGTCAGTAGGGATAAGCTCTGACCTGGAGAGATGTTTCAGGATCTGTTTCTTGATCAATCCAGCCATGACCGGTATCTCATCAATCACTTATCCAAGGACGGGCGGCAGATTTTGGGAGCTGTACATTTTAGGTTTCCTCCAGTCAACCGGAGTGTTTTCTTCTGAATAATGAAGCGTCGTAATGGGCGAATATAAACATAACTCGTAGAGGCGTCCGTCGCTACCGCTTCTCCGTCGTGTCCATGTTGAATGCGCAGTGACGCGTCGGTGGACGAACGCGCATGCGCAGAAGCACCCCACGAAAATGAGGCTCGCCCAAATCCGTTCAGCCAATAGGAATCTGCCTTGAAGTTTACGTCACGCCATGTCTTATCGGTTGTTATCATAGACTGTATAAGATTGTTATAGAAATAATATACATATTAATTAAAAAAGATTTATTTTATTTTATATTGCTTTGAGCATAATAATAATAATGCATATTATGTTTACAAAATTATCCATAAAATCAAATATAATTTATTAAATACAAAGAATTTATTATTATTATTATTATTATGGAATGTCCTTTGCAAATTGCTGTTTATTTGTTTGTTTATTTGTTATCTTAGATATGTTATTGGATATGTTTCATATTACTGTAATAAATATAATTTTAGCCATTTTTATGGTTTAAAACAGAAAACAACAACAACAAAAAGGCATGTATGCAGTTTCTTTATTTTTTCATATAATTTTTGTTCAGTTCTATTTTTCTATACATTAGAAATTGAACAACCACTGATCAAAATACAATTATAATTCATCTATTTATTATTGATTGAAAATGCCATATTCACAATGTGGCAAATAGTAAACCTAACATCCGTCGATATAACAGAAGTGATATATTAGATTAAAAAAAGAAAGAAAAGAAAAAGAAAGAAAAAAGCAAAACACACCATAAAAAAAATATGATAAAAATTATACTCTTTCTAAATACTTTCAATTATTTCCCTTAACATTTAAAAATATACTGGCAATTTCACCCATATTTTTTTTGTTTGGTTATATCGTCCTGAATGTTAGTCCTTATGGATAATGTAATTAATTAATACATCTTTACAGTGACAGTCCTAAAAAAAGGCCTACTGTCTCTAATTGGTCTAGAAATCGTTTAATGCAAGCTATCATATTATAAGTAATAACTAGCATAACCAATAGAGGGCGACAAAGGAACACAGGTTAACGGTGAACACACTGTTGTGCAAGTAACACTTAGTAACACAAACACCTCTTTACATAAAACTAGACACATTATATTAGTATAGTGCAGACGAAGACAGTTGAATAACTATGCAAATTACAAAAATATTCGGTTTAGTCCATTTTCAAAAGATTTCAAAAAGGAGAAACATACAGTGCTTGGCCTGGCAGATTAATGCATTACAGGGAAACTGTAGTAAAATAATATATGATTTAGAAAGTAGAAAAAAAATCTAATTAAACCATATGAATCAAGTTTTGCATTGCAGTGCATAGCAAAGTCATGGGCTTGAGATGCACTGTATAGGCAGCTCAGTGTTAGTCCAATATAAGCTCAACAATGAACTCCTCTCAAACTCGAAAATTCATCAATATACATTACATTCACTTGGTCTCTACAGTATCCAACAAACAGAAGTGAATCTTCTCTAATATATGGCTGATGATTATGACAGTTATTATGAGGGAGATGCGTCTAGTTTAATGACCAGCTTAAAATAATCAAAATGCAGTGTGAATACCCTTTTGAATAACAAGACCAGGAATTTCAACACCAACCACTTCGTTTCATGCTTTCAAAAAGCTCCTTCACATTTTGCATGTCCTCTTTCAACCTAGCGGGGGCATCTGTCTGTTCCAGCTTCTGAGAAACCTGTAGAGGCCGAGTATTAAAAAGAAGAAGTTATGCTGTTGTATAATTACTTTGCTAAATCTGAATACTTTATCATTCCTGACCACCCAAGTTTCAGATGATTTCTAGGGGAATATACAGTATCAAATCTCCTTTCAAAACAGGTTTTGAACATCCTCAACTAAAACAGGATGTGAAAGTGCTGTTACATTTCTTTAAAGTGGCAAAATAGGTTTCCTTTATAGAATTTCGGTGGCTTCAATGTGCCTGAAAATCCTGTGAAAATGTTCTGTGAAACTGCCACGAATGCACAAAAGAGTACATGTACGATGATAACACAGGATTCGTACCTCACTGAAGTAGCGGAGCATGTATTTGCAGAGTTCACGCAGAGCCGCAGATTCATTGAACTCATTTTGATGTTTCTGATGAAGAAGGCGAATTAACATTAAGGCATTCTGCATTACAACCATCTTCCTATCAAGACTCTTCATTTAATCTCTAGGTAGTGTCTGACAAATTGTACCTTTGACTCCTCTTGAAGAAATATTTTCAACTCTTGGCTGCTAATAGAAGTCTGGTCCTTTACTAACTTGTAGTACGACTTCACTTCCTGTTTGTACTGAGGGATGTCTTTGGCGTAGAGTAGCTTATTGGTTGGTGAATGCTGTAGGAGAAAAAGAGTGGTAATAATCTCTGTGATATTCACCGTTTTCCATGTTAGGTTTCAGTGGTTACCTTGTCCAGGTGTTGCTCAGCTAAGGAGAAGGAGTCCATAAAGGCCTGAGCGATGACGGACAGACAGCCATCCAGGTGAGGCGTCTTCTCCAGGTCACTGAACACAAAGTCAGGGTTCTTCAGGATGTTCACCCAGAAACGAAGTGGAAGGCTGATGGGGAGGTTTGACAATCCATTTTAGTTGTGCGTGAACATATAAACGTTAATAAATCTTGTGAGGCATTTGATAGTCAGCAGTCAGTGCAGCTGCTGGTGGAGCTACGCAATGAATGTGTGTTATCCAGCACCTGTTTGTTTTCCAGATGTGAAGAACATCTGGATCTGAGATTTTTTTTCTCTCTGCTTGTGCATCCAGGAAGTCGAAAAAGTTCTTGACAGCCAATGGGGCCTTGCTGTTAGGCAATCCCCAGATACTTCTAAACAGATTCTCCACAAAAGAATGGACTGCCACCTGGTGGACACAATGAGCGCATATTTCATATATATAATGTGTGTATATATATATATAGATATATACACTCTCTGTCTGTCCGTTTTTTTCTGTCCATCCATCCATCTATATATCTGCCTATCTGCCTATCTATATATCTGCCTATCTGTCTATCTATCTATCTCTCTCTATGTATGTATGTATGTATGTATGTATGTATGTATCTGCCTATCTATCTATCTATCTATCTATCTATCTATCTATATCTGTCTGTCTGTCTGTCTGTCTGTCTGTCTGTCTGTCTGTCTATCTATCTCTCTCTACGTATGTATGTATGTATGTATCTGCCTATCTATCTATCTATCTATCTATATATCTATATCTGTCTGTCTGTCTGTCTGTCTGTCTGTCTATCTGTCTATCTATCTATCTCTCTCTATGTATGTATGTATCTACCTACCTATCTATCTATCTATCTATCTATCTATCTACCTATCTATCTATCTATCTATATCTGTCTGTCTGTCTGTCTGTCTATCTATCTATCTCTCTCTATGTATGTATGTATGTATGTATGTATGTATGTATCTATCTACCTATCTATCTATATATATATACCTGTCTGACTCCATCTACACCTGTCTATACAACATACAATATATAATCAAATGCTTCTATGTGTCAATTATTCTCACCTTGGTGGAGAGCAGCTTGGTGAGGTACATCTCTTTGAATTTTAGTGCTTTTTTCTCTGGATGTTTGCTCAGGTCTGTGTCAATATCTGGATCAACCTAGACCAATCGAAAAGTCCATGTTACTATGTTTATTTGAAATGGTCTTTCATTTTTATTGTAGTAAAGTTATTTTACAACAATGTCTTCTTATATATACTGACAGTGTTTCTCATATAAATGTTTAAGCTATTATGTCTCATTATTAGAAGAGGCAAAATGCTATCTTCGAACAATATAAACAATACAAAGATTCTTATGTTTAGATTTACTTAAAAACACTTCCTCTTATTTAAACAGGAAGACGCTGGCAAAACCGAAAGTATAACACACCCACACTATCTTCACTGCAGTCTCAATGCAATAGCAACTAGATATAACACATGGACTCTCAACAATGACCCATGGAGGAAAACACAACACAGTCATTACCTGACAGATCATTAGGTGTGTCAGTGCAACGAGAAGGACACACCAAAACAAACATTGTGCAGAAGTATACAAGCCAACTCACCAGATGGAAGTACTTGACAGCGAAGTTCTCATCATCTGTGAAACAAAATACCATAATGAGTAAATAAATAAGCTATGTCAAGCTGATACTGGCCCAACAGTCATGTATTATTGTGCTTTACACTGAAGAGAGGATGTGTTACAGTACTAAAATCTCTAGTGTGGTTACAGTGGGTTTGAGTTGGAACATAAAATGGCCACATGTCAGAACCCAAATTTGCACAATACAGATGCACTCCAAAAGATACCATAAACACGCAAACATAACTGGATGTGAACAATGCATGTTCATACACGCATTTCAAAATCTTGGACCTTGACTGATATTAAACAACATTATTTCACCATGAACAGATTATTGATCATTAATAAATGCTAATCGAATGTACAACAATTACTGTCCTGTTAAGTAAAATAAAATGTTTATCAATAAGTTCATGAAAGTTATAAAAGGCTATCAGAAACTGTCTGTGGTATGTGTACAGGAAAAGAGACTTCAACAGAAATAGCACCTGGTATATAGACACAAATACAACTGATCCCACCACTTCCATTACACAAGGCCAAATTTCATAATTGTGCTTCACTGTTGCCTGAGAATTTGGACTCTTTGTTAATAGCTCCAGTTCAGCTTGACAAATTCAACAGACTTTTAAATAGTTCACCCAAAAATGGTAATATTCTAATCATTTACTCATCATCAAGTCATTTCAAACCCATATGACTTTATTTTGTCTGTGGAAAACAAAAATGGATGTTTAGCAGACTGTTAATGTTGCTTTCTTCCATATAAAGACATTAAATGGGGACCGGTGTCTGTCAAGCTCCAAAAAGCACCATAAAGCATTCATAAGGCTTCTGATGTCATATGACAGCTTGTGTGAGGAATACACTGAAATTTCAGACTTTCATACTCTTTCTTGATAGCTCTGGTCACCATTCCTTTTTTTTTTGTTTTTTTTTTGTACGGAATATGAATTGTATTCTTATGCGTTACAAGGAGGAAAAAAGTCCTGCAGGTTTTGAAAAAGATGAGATTTGGCTGAACTTTCCCTTTATTTAATCTTCTCTCAGATGATGTAATAGTGTTACAGAACACATCTGGATGCACTGTCTAACATAAAGAAAATTATGTACACATTATATGTCGCAATACTGAATGTTTTGTAGAGTGGGGTGGGGTTGCAAAGCTGTAGTATTGTGTCCGTTTCTAGTGAACTTCTAATATGAGTTGTCAGTTGTACAGATATTAACACTCAGAATGCATTGCAAACCTATTTTAAGTACAATAATAAAGTAACAACAAATGCAACAGCGAAATAAACCACCCAAAATGGATTGATTGTGATATTGGGCATGGCATTGTTTCAGTTGACATGGTGGTTGATGGGAGGAATGATGACTCACCCTTTACACTGCTCTGAGACCTCAATGGTGCATGTACTTTTGTTGTGATAACTTTAATGCATGCTCCATCTCCAACCTGGATGGAAAAACATCTTTAAAAACACAAACTCTGAAAAAGCTGAGAAAATTAATACTGTGCTGTAGTAGTCTATGGATGTGGTATGAGTTTGCACAACAGTTTAGCATAATCTGGGTTTATTTGGCCTTGTGATACAAGCTTTGCAAGTGAAAGGTCATTCTCAAATACCTCGAATAAAGCCAACAGCAAAATACTGTGCAAGTCAGACAAACTTTCATCTGTCAAATTTGTATTCACACAGGACTGTGAATACAAATTCTGTATTCACACATTCATTTTATAGTGATATGAACTATTTTTTTTTTACATTTTCTCAAGAAAATGTGAGTGGTCCTTTCCCATGTCAGTGTTTTTAAGGTGCTGCTCTGCAGCTGCTGGGGTGTTTTGGGTGGTTTCTTAAAGGTCCACTAAAGTGCCTTGAAACGCACAGCTATATTAAATGTTTTGATGTAATTTCAATTGAAACAGAAAGACAGGGCAAGACATATCGAGCAGCCCCACCCCTTTTTAAATAGCCAATAGCATTTCATTTATATCAGTTTGGCCAGAGTCGTCGGTTAAGGTTGGTAAAACCACATTTGACAGCCACAGCCTATTAGATTAGATTCAATATGAAGCTGTTAATAAAGCAAAACAATGATCATAATCATGCTGAGGATGTGTAATTTGAAAATTATGTAATTTATGTTGGTGCGTGGCACCTGTGTTTTCTCTTCTACTCATCAGTGCTGTTTCTAATACAAAGTTTATCTGAGTTTCTCCTCCTAATCTCATCCATGTCACTTTAAAACATAGCATTTTGTTTAGAATTCAAATGGGTCTGTCCAGACTTCATTCGCCCCAGTGGAAAACATATTTACACTGTCTGAATCGTTCCCTATCCCCTATACAGTGCACAATGTGCCATTCACCAAACAGTAATTCTGTGAACAAGTGACCGATTTTCAGCAGCAGCTTCAGCGTTTATTTATAGTGTAGGGGGCGGGATGCTTCAGATTCTAGAGAGCATTTGATTGGACAGAAAATCTGATGAGAAGCTGAAGTGCAGAGTGACGTCATCAAAATCATTGATCCATATTGGCGGAAGTGAGAGACTGCAAGTTTTGAATGCTTATATCTTCTAAATGTGAATTTTGTCAATAGCTTATACATAAACTTGAGGCTAACATATTCATACTAAAAGCCAAAAAATGTCAATTTTGATTTCATGGGGACTTTAATAGCTTTAAGGCCAATTCGCACTAAGGACAATAACTACAACGATAATGATACCTATAGATTTTTTAATAATCAGTGAGAGTACTGGATTCCATGTCACAACTATAACGATAACAACACAGAGGAACAATATCATTGGAATCACTTTCAGAACAACTTTTTCCAGTTTTCCAGATCCATCAGCCAATCAGAATCCATCTTGCTATAAAGAACTTTTAAAGCAGCAAACGACTGCAGAATGTTTATTAAATGCAGCTGTCTTTACATTTGTCATTCTTGGAGTGAACGGACTTTAAGCCAAAAGTGCCCAACCCTAAGCCTTTATCATATTCTGGTCTCTATATATGGCCCACATGGGATTTTTGTTATATCAGCTGTCTGTTTGCTTAGAATATACTCCACTTCTCAAAAATGATGTTTACGCTGTTTTATGTTCTCCTGCGCTCACCTGATAATGTTTTAGAGTGTTCAACATGGTAACATGCCCCCGTATCTCTGAGGTTTCATCGACTTCCTGTAGCATGACAAACTTTCCTTCCTTTTCACATTCTGTGAGTGCACAACAAAAAACAGAGAATACAAAGAGGAATTAGGTCGGCGGATATTGCAACTGGCAACCTGAAACTGTGTGTTACCAACAGACCAACATGCTCTATAAGGAAGTTCTATGAAATATTATGATCATCAACTGTGAGAGAGTGAGAAACAGGGAGTCCACTAACCGATTTCTATATCCCTGATCTGCTGGAAGGGGAATCCAAATTTGCGCTGAAAGGTCTGTAAGATTTTCTCCTTGACCTGTTGTATTGTGTCACATGTCAGTGCGTTGACCTCTAAGGGTTCACTGACCTCTCCTCCAGTCCCCACAGCAAACACCACCTTCAGTTTCTACAGGGGCGAAGACATAAAGCAAACAATTTAATGACTAAAGAAGTACTAAAGAAGGAATCATATTCTGCTTTTAATGTGTTTCAAATCACTGGAGCTGTTCATACAGTCAATATTTAATAAACTTTAGTAAAAGAAAACCTTATATATAGACCATTTTTCTCATTTTTAAGGATCTTTCACATTATATTAGCTTATTTTAGAGGGTGATGTGTTATTTTGGTAACATTGTAGTGTAGGGACCAATTATCACTATTAACTAGTTGCTTATTAGCTTGCCTATCATTAACATATTGGCTGTTTATTAGTACTTATAAAGCATATATTCTGCATGACCATATCCCTAATCCTACCCAATACCTAAATTTAACAACTACCTAACAAACTATTAATAAGCAGCAAGTTAGGAATTTATTGAGGCAAAAGTTGTAGTTGTTAATAGCGAGCATTGGACCTTAAAATAAAGTGTGACTGTTATTTAGGTCAGGTAGATCAAAACTTTTTTTTAAAACATTGAGTCAGATTTTTAAAAATGCTGTATCGACTTAAAATAAATTACATAGAATGGCAGTTTTTTAGAACATAATAAATGCACTATTGCATACGACTATGCAGTTTAAAGACTTCTTTTTTTCCACTGTAATTTCCTGTAAAGCAATTTTGAACTATGAGTTAGACCATCTTCTGTGCAGTGCTGTTTCTAATACCAAGTTTATCTGAGTTTCTCCTCCTAATCTCATCCATGTCACTTTAAAACATAGCATTTTGTGTAGAATTCAAATGGGTCTGTCCAGACTTCATTCGCCCCAGTGGAAAACATATTTACACTGTCTGAATCGTTCCCTATCCCCTATACAGTGCACAATGTGCCATTCACCAAACAGTAATTCTGTGAACAAGTGACCGATTTTCAGCAGCAGCTTCAGCGTTTATTTATAGTGTAGGGGGCGGGATGCTTCAGATTCTAGAGAGCATTTGATTGGACAGAAAATCTGATGAGAAGCTGAAGTGCAGAGTGACGTCATCAAAATCATTGATCCATATTGGCGGAAGTGAGAGACTGCAAGTTTTGAATGCTTATATCTTCTAAATGTGAATTTTGTCAATAGCTTATACATAAACTTGAGGCTAACATATTCATACTAAAAGCCAAAAAATGTCAATTTTGATTTCATGGGGACTTTAATAGCTTTAAGGCCAATTCGCACTAAGGACAATAACTACAACGATAATGATACCTATAGATTTTTTAATAATCAGTGAGAGTACTGGATTCCATGTCACAACTATAACGATAACAACACAGAGGAACAATATCATTGGAATCACTTTCAGAACAACTTTTTCCAGTTTTCCAGATCCATCAGCCAATCAGAATCCATCTTGCTATAAAGAACTTTTAAAGCAGCAAACGACTGCAGAATGTTTATTAAATGCAGCTGTCTTTACATTTGTCATTCTTGGAGTGAACGGACTTTAAGCCAAAAGTGCCCAACCCTAAGCCTTTATCATATTCTGGTCTCTATATATGGCCCACATGGGATTTTTGTTATATCAGCTGTCTGTTTGCTTAGAATATACTCCACTTCTCAAAAATGATGTTTACGCTGTTTTATGTTCTCCTGCGCTCACCTGATAATGTTTTAGAGTGTTCAACATGGTAACATGCCCCCGTATCTCTGAGGTTTCATCGACTTCCTGTAGCATGACAAACTTTCCTTCCTTTTCACATTCTGTGAGTGCACAACAAAAAACAGAGAATACAAAGAGGAATTAGGTCGGCGGATATTGCAACTGGCAACCTGAAACTGTGTGTTACCAACAGACCAACATGCTCTATAAGGAAGTTCTATGAAATATTATGATCATCAACTGTGAGAGAGTGAGAAACAGGGAGTCCACTAACCGATTTCTATATCCCTGATCTGCTGGAAGGGGAATCCAAATTTGCGCTGAAAGGTCTGTAAGATTTTCTCCTTGACCTGTTGTATTGTGTCACATGTCAGTGCGTTGACCTCTAAGGGTTCACTGACCTCTCCTCCAGTCCCCACAGCAAACACCACCTTCAGTTTCTACAGGGGCGAAGACATAAAGCAAACAATTTAATGACTAAAGAAGTACTAAAGAAGGAATCATATTCTGCTTTTAATGTGTTTCAAATCACTGGAGCTGTTCATACAGTCAATATTTAATAAACTTTAGTAAAAGAAAACCTTATATATAGACCATTTTTCTCATTTTTAAGGATCTTTCACATTATATTAGCTTATTTTAGAGGGTGATGTGTTATTTTGGTAACATTGTAGTGTAGGGACCAATTATCACTATTAACTAGTTGCTTATTAGCTTGCCTATCATTAACATATTGGCTGTTTATTAGTACTTATAAAGCATATATTCTGCATGACCATATCCCTAATCCTACCCAATACCTAAATTTAACAACTACCTAACAAACTATTAATAAGCAGCAAGTTAGGAATTTATTGAGGCAAAAGTTGTAGTTGTTAATAGCGAGCATTGGACCTTAAAATAAAGTGTGACTGTTATTTAGGTCAGGTAGATCAAAACTTTTTTTTAAAACATTGAGTCAGATTTTTAAAAATGCTGTATCGACTTAAAATAAATTACATAGAATGGCAGTTTTTTAGAACATAATAAATGCACTATTGCATACGACTATGCAGTTTAAAGACTTCTTTTTTTCCACTGTAATTTCCTGTAAAGCAATTTTGAACTATGAGTTAGACCATCTTCTGTGACGCAAATACCTTCCTTTGGAGAAATGGCATTTACTCGCTTGGTAATACAGGTACAGTCCAGTTTTGTGAGAGGAAGGCTTGTGCAAAACTGATATCCTCTGCAGAAAGCAAAATGCAGAAGCACAACGGTCACACCAGTCTAAATGTGAGAGACTGCTGGTAATTTTGGTGGGAAGATGGTCTGGTCACATGATTCTGTCCACAAACTATCAAATATCAAAAACTGCCTGAGACCAACCGTCCAACCACACTCAATGTGAGAACTGCAGGTCAGGAAAGAATCAAGAACAGAACATGACGGGAAATAAAAAAAAAGATAAATAAAAATCTCTATGGCCCAACGTTAAAAAGTGAAAAAAAAGTGAAAGTGACGTGACATGTGGCCAAGTATGGTGACCTATACTCGGAATTAGTGCTCTGCTTTTATCCCATCCAAAGTGCACACACACACCGTGAACACACACCCGGAGCAGTGGGCAGCCATTTTTTGCTGCGGCGCCCGGGGAGCAGTTGGGGGTTCGGTGCCTTGCTCAAGGGCACCTCAGTCGTGGTATTGAAGGTGGGAGAGAGCGCTGTACATTCACTCCCCCCACCTACAATCCCTGCCGGTACGAGACTCGAACCCGCAACCTTTGGGTTACGAGTCCGACTCTCTAACCATTAGGCACGACTTCCCCACGACTATCTTAAAGGGATAGCACACTCAGGAATTCTGTCATCATTTGCTCACCCTCAATATGTTCCAAACCTGTATGAATTTCTTTCTTCTGCTGAACAGAAAGAAGATATTTTGAAAAATGTGAGTAACCAAACAGTTTCTGGTCCAAATAGACAGTATTATTTCCATACTATGGAAGTCAATGGGGACCAGCAACCTTTTGGTTACCCACATTCTTCAAAATATCTTCTTTAATGTTCCACAGAAGAAAGCATTCATACATGTTTGTAACAACTTGAGGGCAAGTAAATGATAACCGATTTTTTTATTTTTTGGGTGAACTATGCCTTAAACAATTAGTAAAGAACATATACACATGTAAGAAAATGATGTTTCTTGTGCAAGAAACGTTGTGCAACGAGGAAGTTACAGGATGCCTTCTGTGGTTTAAGGATGGACATGACGGCAACAGAAAAAGCAGAAGCTTATGAGCATTTAATGTAAGAGGTTTAAAATGTACACAGCTACCAAGAAACTTCTGCTCTTTTGAGCCTTCCGTTAATCAAAGACTTCTGCATCACGATTTCCACAAATGTGTCACTGTTTCCACATATTAAGAAACATAATCAAAGGAATAAATTACATTTTAAAATATATTAAAATAGAAATCAGTTATTTTAAATGTTAATAACATTTTACAAAATTACTGTTTTACTGTGTGGTGGATTAAATAAATTCAGCCTTGAAGAGCATAAGCATATCAATCACACTGACCTTTTAACCAAACTTTTTCAGTAGTTTTGAGCGCAGGAAGGGAAATATTTAGTGTTTTGGATTAAAATGGGGAATTATTAAAATGTGAATGTCGCTTGCAAATTTCAGAAAGGTGTTTCTAAAGTTAGTACTTTCCATAACTGCTCATTTTTGCGAACACTTCCTCATTTGCATAAAAGACAGAGACAGTAAAAGAGGAAATACTGACCAAGGCCTCAAAGTCCTGGGCTTGGCAGAGAAGCCAGTCCTCGCTAAGAGTGTACAGAGCTTTCTCTGTCACCGAATCCACCGGCCCTTTAGAGATTTGCTGAGTCAAAGCTGACACCAACAGGAAGAGAGGCTGTCCTACTGATTCCTATGGAGGAAACAAACAATTTTGTCCATAAACATGTGAGCACACACAGGTAGTTAAAGAGAATATGTGCTTTATAATTCCATGATACAGTGGATGCTCGGACGGACCCTGAGGAAGCCGTACAGACAGATGGACATCCAGTTGGTAAGAAGCTTCTCCACTATGGACTCTGTGCGCCGCAGGAGAAGTTTGGGATTTGCATTGCTGGACTGGTCCATCAGACTCTGCAGAAGGTCCTCCATTACCTCTGTGAGATAAAGCAGGTCTCCATGGAGGGCCAGAGTCAACAGAGAAGCCACTGTACATCTGAGAGAGAGAGGAACAGAAAGAGAGGAACAAATACACAAGGTATAAAGAACAGAAGAAAGATGAGTAGATAAAGGGTCAGACACTGAGTGTTACTTGCTGTTATAGTACGCACTTGTCTCACAAATTTATATTTAAAATCCAATCAGAAACCAACCGCAGCTTGTGTGTACTGTAGCTTCATTTTCTTCATTCATTCATTCATTTTGTACAATATGTACAGTATGTTGCATTTTCTTGCATTATTATGTTTATTTTTGAATATTGATGCTTTGAAAAACCATCAAGCCAAATAAAGTATTCTGAAACTGAAACAAAATTTTTGTGTTTTATTTTCTTCATTTAATTCATTTAATCGTATATATTATTTAGCAATTGATTATCTATACCATTTAATATGTTTTTCATTTATGACATTTTTATTATTTTTTAATATTACTTATTATTTTGCAATGCTAGCTATTGTTGTTTAATCTTTAATCTAAATGATTGTGGGGTTTCATGGAATATTTGTCTTCATGAATTAAGAGATAAGAGGGAATGTCTCCATTTCAAGGTTTTTTTGAGATGTTGTTCTGAAGCAGTTTGATATAACAGTTGGATTTGCGCTGGTCAAACAAAGTCTGAGCGTTGAAATAAACTAAGATTACTCAAAAAAACCTGTGCATTTTTTTAGCATCATAACGTCATCTCCTGCTTCCTGGTCCTCAGGCATCCTCTCAGATGGATAGAAGACTTTTAGTTTAAAAGGTTTTGGTTATTTGACTAAATGCAGTGTTGCTGATTTTAGGTATCAGACAAAACTCTCCTGACTTGTGTTGGATACCAAACTAAATGGATATCTTCTAACAGGATCTAATTTAGAGACTGGATGCATTATTCTTGCAAGGAGATTCGATCAAACACCATCAAGCCAATCAAGTGCTTTGAAACTAAAACTAACCCTATTAAGCACATTATCAAACACATATCTGTGTTTCAGGGTGGTGGTCATTTTAAAGGTAGACACTTGGACACTTTTGAGGAAGATGTGCTATTTTAAAAAACCACAAAGCATTATCTGTTTACGCTTCTAAGTAACAGGCATCAAGTCAAAGCCTCAAAATAACCATGAGGTCCTGTGACCAGGTTTATCAAATCATCTTTAAACAGAGGTGAGAATATGTTCAAAGCATCAAAGCGTCTTCTTTCTCTTTTGTAAGTCACTTTGGATAAAAGTGTCTGCACAATGCATACATTTAAATGTCGTCGACTCACTTGTCTTTAATGCTGAAGTTTTTCTGTTCTTCTAATGCATGCACAAAACAGCTGAGAAACTGCTTATCTCTGATCAGTGCAGCAAAAGCCTGACATTTCTCATCAACAGTTGTCTGCTCAGAGTCCTGACCACAAAAAAAAGGACAGAGATAAAACATTTAGTTTTATACAATGTCATACATTTATATTTCATATACTACAAAAGACACTGCAGCATCTTACCTGCCCAATGTCTCTGATCATGACTGGTGCCAGAGGGCCAGCCTAGAGAAAATATATATTAAACAAACAAACACATATAGTAATTCTACAAGAAAAAAAAAGGAATTTCAGATAGATAAAAATACTGAACCTCAGGAAAGAAGATTTTTGAGGCAAAGTGCTTGTAGTCCAAGAAAGGTATGGCTCCAACATTATCGATTAAATCAGATTTTTCTGTTTGCAAGTCAACAAAGCCTGTCAAAACAAACAAACAAACAAACAAACATAAATGCATAATGTAATCACAAACAACTAAACATGAAACAGTTCTAAGAAATATGTCAGCAATATAAGCATTTAAAGGGATAATTTGCGGATCCCAATATTGCTTGTGATTCTTTTTCAGTGAAGTCTATGGGATCTTTTGAATGTTTTATTGACTGCCATGCATATTGCTTAGGAAAGTAATAATTGCATGATTCGAGGCATCATTTGTGTCCTTTGCACAAATGTGCAGGAGGAGTTATGCACCAAAGTTGAATATTTAGGGTTAGTTGTGTGTTTATAACACTAACCTTCAGTATGAGCTACAGTGGCGCTTGCAAACGCCACAAAAGACCAGCATTTCAAAGATGACCAACCTTGGCGTATATCCCTTCTGATGTTGCTTTCCAGCATTTCCAGTTGCTTGTTCATTCTCTCATTCATTTGTCTCTGGCTCTTACGGTGAACAATGACTCCAACTAGACAGATGAGCAAACACATACATTAGTACCTGCAGGACTGAAAATATGTGACGTAAATCTGAAATCACTTACCAACAGCACCCAGAATTATAAGCAGAATCAATGCGGCAAAGATGAGTAAATATATTATAGCACTTTGAGACTCAAGGTTTTTAGAAAAATCCCCGATTTTTATCTGAAAATTATAGCAAAAGAAGGAAGATTTTGTATGTAAGATATATAAAGGTCATTAATAATTTACAATAATTAATTAAGACAATTTGCATAAAGACATGAATATTTACACTCACAGTGAGTGAGCCCACTGTTGGGACGGCTCCTGATTCTCCTTTAATCTTACAGATGACGGCATTGGACTCAATCTTCTCCAAAACACACGGATACTCCTGATCTCCCTGTAGACCCGTCACAGTCACCTCACTCATACTCAAATTCAACATATCTGCCTTTTTCTGAGAAAGAGAGAGTGTGGGATGATTTGGAGGTTGTGTGTTTCATGCATGCCAAAAATGCAGATTGTAGACTGAAGTTAAACTCACTTTATCACTAAACTCACCTTAATGTTCACCTGTAGATCATTGGCCACCTGTACGGTGGTGAATCCAGTGAATTCTGGATCAGGCTTGAAGGAGAAATAATACACACAGTCCACAGTGAAGTTCCCAACATTCAACAACAAGCTAAACTGATCACTGCCATCATAGTGGGGGGACTCAAACCACACATCCTGAGAAAGAGAGACACTGAAAATATGAATCTAATACATGTGACGTGCATGTAAGCTGTGAATACAATTAAAGTCTTTAGTCAATATAAAAATTCTTACACAAACAAGCTGACAATTATTTTCATGTTAACCGACAATCTATAAAATTCTATAATGTTTTGTTTAAAAATGAATAAAAAAAATCAAAAACAAATCAATTGCTTGAAATGTTTAGGCATTATAACAGTTTGGAGGTCAGTAAAGTGATGGACGTTTGAAGACTCTGAAGTTTTAAATAGCTGTCCTCAATGTATCAGATAAAGTGCTGTGAGCAACTGCGGAAATAATAAGCACACATCTTACCTCTGAGCTTGTGTTGAATTGTGTTTTCCGCACTTCATTAGAGGGGAAGACAGTAACTGATTCCACAAATTCCATATTGCTCCCCTGAACATGAATCTTCCTTCCACCACTGCATAAAGCCAGTAATACATGACAAAAAAAATACATATCTATTAACATTTGAATTCCCCCACTTATTTTTGCATATGTGGCTTCTGCATGCACACACAGACACACAATACCACACATTTCAGCAACCAATGGTAGTGAAACCCCCCAAAAATATGAAGAAAAGCCTGGCTGTCAGGAAGCAGGTTGCTCTTACTAAACCTCTAACAGTTTAAGCAAGACTAGTCTAAAGGCCTGTTCACACCAAGGACGATAACTATAAAGATAACGATAACAATATACACTGAACAAAATTATAAACGCAACACTTTTGTTTTGCCACCATTTTTCATGAGCTGAACTCAAAGATCTAAGACTATGTACACAAAAGGCCTATTTCTCTCAAATATTGTTCACAAATCTGTCTAAATCTGTGTTAGTGAGCACTTCTCCTTTGCCGAGATAATCCATCCACCTCACAGGTGTGGCATATCAAGATGCTGATTAGAAAATTAAAGAATAGCAGTGTCCACACCACAGCTATAACGATAAAGGCACAGAGAATAATTTCTGAATTTTTTTTTTTCAGCTGAACGATAAAAACATTGACACCCAATCAGAATCAATCCTGCTGTAATGAGCTCGAGAATTTAAGGCGGCAGAGGAGCGTGCGCTTAGAATTAACAGACGTTATTGTCCGCTGGTGTGGACGCTAATATAGTTATCTTCATAGTTATCATTCTTGGTGTGAACGGGCCTTAAGGACACATGTGAGTTAGTAAACTGCAGATCTCAGAAACACGATAAAACATGCAGGAAATTACCTAATGACTCTCATTACTGCTTTAATTTTTGCTGTCTCGCATATATTTTAAAAATCTGCTCTAAAAGTATCTCATCAGATCATTACTTTGCAAATAATATTTTTCCACATTAACAGCATTCTTGCTAATTTAATGACTAAATTGTTCTGTATGACATTAGATTCACTAATTATAATGTGCAGTTGTCATCTTGAGGTGCTGATGGGATGTGGAAGCTGATCTGACAGTGGTCTGACCTGCTCCAGCTGACTATGGGCTGTATTCCAGTGCAGCTGGGCTGAGAACTGTAAGTGATGATGCTGTTGCCATGACAACGGTCGTCAGGAGTAACAACACACACTTTCACTGTTCCTTTAGTTTCACTGGGAGGAATGTGGAACCTTAGAGTGTCACTGGAGCGATCAAACACTGGAGATCTGAAGGTAAAGATATACAGTATCATTTATCTGAATCTACACACATTCATATATACCACTAAACAAACGCACAGAGTCTCACTCTTTAGGAATGCAGTACAGATCCCCTTGAATACGGATTTTAGTGACAGATTCCAGGTTCCTTCCTCTTAGTAAAACATTGTTTCTGCCATGGAAAGAAACCTTGTTCGGCTCCAGAGACAGAATCTCTGGCTTCTACAGGACACCAAAAGTTGCACTCAGTTACAAAAAAAAAAAAAACTGAATATAAACAAAATAACAGAAGTTAAAATGAATTTAATAACTGACTATATAATAAGTTATAATTAATTATATAATTTATCAATATGAGTATTAATAGTATTATAAATACACATTGATAAAATATATTGTAAATATGAATATATAATGCATCATATATAATTTTAAAATAAATATAACTGTGACAAATTGTTTCTCAAACGGGGAAACAAAATCCTCAGTCTCTTGTAAAGTCATATTCATTTGAAATAGGAACATACTGAAAAAACAACATCCCTATCCTGTGAAGTTGGACACATAATCAATATGACACTTACATTGTAGACCATCTCAGACAGTAGATATTTACATGCATCCTAAAGAGTAAAGAAAGAGCAGCTCATATACTTCCTGAGTTCATTCAGTTATCAACAATGAATTAATATGAATTTATTAAAGGAGTGGTTGATTGCGATTTCACTTTTTTAACGTTAGTTAGTGTGCAATGTTGCTGTTTGAGCATAAACAATATCTGCAAAGTTACGAAGCTGAAGGTTCAATGCAAACGGAGATATCGTCTTTTAAAATTCTGGCGGTTTAATGCCTACAAAAACGGCTGGTAGGGACTACAACAAGTTACTTCCCGGGTTCGTGACGTAACAAACCCAGATAAACTCCGCCCTTTAGGAAAAGGCAGCAAAGGGGGCGAACTTTTTACTTACTCAATTTAGAAAAGAGTAAGTAATCTTTATTTAACTAAAATGTTATATACAGGAATTATTTATTATTCAATATTAAGATGTTTCTACTATATATACTATATATAATGTTTTTATTGTTTGTTAACTGGACATTTGTAAACTTCACCTGTTTCCTCAGAGCGATGTAAATATGTTTGAAATCTACTGGATCAAAGTGCATTCTGGGAAGCACTGCTCGTTCATCATCAGATTTAAACAGCACTATTGGACATCCTGGAGTGAATTTCTCATCCAACACAAGCTAGAAAAACAAACAGAAATACAAATCATGAATTATGATTGCAGTAATTCAAATGCAGAATTAGGCAACAGCTTAGAGCTATATGTGTAAATAGAAATGGTGGACAGATATTTAAAAATAAAAAAATAGAGAATAGTGAAAATAAAGGCATGGGTGTATGAGATAGAAGTGAATGAGACCTTTATGAGTTGACCATCACTGGTTCCTATGAACAGCACAATCCAGGATCCACTTCTAACTGCTGCCACTGCTGACATTGAGCTGTACTTGAACACCACAGAGAGCGGCTGAAGTTCAGTATCACTCTGAAACACAAACAAATGAAACTTTACATTGACAGTTTTTATTCAAAGAGTGAACAAAACAATATACGTTTATCTTGCAACATTCTATTACAAATCTTATCCATGGCTCAACAAGGTGAAATACTGTTCTCCTTAAAAAAAAAAAAGCAAGCATAGGAATGCAATTTCCAGCCTGTGGACCACATGGGGTTTTACCATAAGCGCAGAAGCCCTTCACTCGGCCTTGAATGCTCCTGATGTCGTACAGAGCCAGCGCGCTGTTCTCCGGATCCTGCTGATTCTGCGCACTGAACACACCTGCCCAAATAACGCCGTTCACTGAGGGAATAACAGTGCAGGCGACGAGCACTGGACGAGCTTTATCACTGCAGCATCGTATCGTTGCAGCCTGTAGGGATTTGATGATGTCTCTCTTTTTTCCTTTAGAGCTGTTCATCCACAGGACGAGCACTTTCCTCTCTGAGCCAGTCTTTGCGTTGAGAAATAAGTAGGATTCTGAGGGTGAAACTCTCTGGAATCCGCCAACAAACTCCACATCTCTCACAGTGCTCTGAATGCTGGCATCTGATCCTTCTGCTATTTTTGAGAAAATCCCACCTGCTTGAGACTGTAAAGTGTTCCACAAGGTAACAACAGAATACCTGGTATCCTGAGCTTTTGCATCGTCGTCTTTTTTCCCAACCAAAAGGTACCTACTGCTACCTGTACCGGCTATGAAGGCAACAGATTTCTCATCCTGTCGCGGTCCTATCAATATATTACGTTCATAGTAAATGCTGTTTGTAATGTCATTTATATCAAGAACTTCACAATATCCATCATTAAAAGTCCCACATGCTATCAGGGTGCTGTTTGCGTCAAAAGGCACCAGAATGTTGACTCTGTATTCAGTGGCATTAGTGATTATTTTCCTCTTCTCCTCAGAAAGATCGTGGCTCATCTGATGTAGTCGATGGTCAGTAAGAACAAATAACTTACCGTTACCAACTACAAAATCCTTGATGTCTGAATCAAAGTTCACTGCATCACCGTAAATGCAGTATTTCAAAAGTACAAGAATTCCAAGTAATCTTCTCATCTTGCATATCTGATGAGCAGCTGAAGTTCAGAGAACTTGTCACAGACATCAACTGCTCTCAGACGCGTCCACTCGTGAAGTGGATGGAAGGGAAAGCAGCGGCTCTGAGGATGCTGATGACTTCCGCGCAACACACCAACAAATCTGTAGCCCTGATTGCGACATTCAGATGTTTTGTAAGTTATACAATTTCACGAGGAAACACATTTCATGATCAAACACAGAAGAAAAATCGAGCCAGGAACAAGTCTGTACTCTCTTGAATTAACTGTATTGACAGCAGACTTTGTATTTAATAGTTTTGTGAAGTTCTGCAGTTTTTTAGTTAGCCTACTGCTGCACCCTTGTGGTACATAAACAGCTTCATATTTAGAAAAGAACAGAATAGATTAAAATATAATTGATTGCCATTTAGATATAATTTGCCATTTGATGAGTTTTGCTCTATTTATTTTTATTTTCTGTATAACCATAAGCTTCAAGTGAATTAGTATCATAATTACATTATTTGATCATATGTAGGCTATATCATTGTTGTTGAGGGTCATAATATACAAAAGACAGTATCTTGTCGCCATCTACAGGTGTAATTATAGACCTAGACACAAATCCCCATTAATAGCCTACTACACTAATCGATGACCAGAGTTAACTGCTATTTATTAATATAAATATTTACATTTATATAAAATCTTTTAAAGGCTTTTATTTATAAAACAGTAGTTTTGGTAATATTGTATCTAAAATTTAAGTTAAAGATTTGCTTGAGACATTTTAAGGTATTAAAATATCGAAAACATTTTATGAATTTTATGACAATTAATTTAGCTAGTAATATTACTGTAACAATTTAATTAAACAATATGTCCTGGTATTCTTTGTAGGCACTGCGCACAAAAAGAAAAAAATATTGTTGTGAGTTTTACTGAAACCTTTTGTCTTGTCACTTGTAACAAATGCATGTAATCACTTGATCTTAAATTAAGAGTTGTTTCAATCAACAAAACTGTATTATTAGCTTTTCTTGACAAGTCAATGTAACAATGCACTCGACAACTGATAAACACAATGCAAGATGTCCCTTTATGCACACCATATTTGACATCAGCAACTGAAGGCCAGAGCAACAGTAATGCTGGCGATTATGAATGCAGGTTTTTTCCACAGCCTTGACTATTATTTTTCATGGAAGCATATGAAAGACTGGAAAATGCACTGAATGAAATTCTGGTTGTTCAGATTAATAAATTAAAATGAGCTAAAGCCACACAGTTGCATTTTATCACAACTTTATCGTGTTCAGTCCATTTAAAATGTAAAATTGAAGTTTACTAAATCCATTTGTGTTGGGACTACATAAATCATTTTTGTTGCATTAACTGAAACTGCATGAGTGGATTTTTAGTTCCCAGTATGATTTGCATATAAGACTGAATTGGAAGAGTAAATGTTGAAATTAAGTGTTGTGTGTGTTTTAAGTAAAGGAAAAAACCTGTTAGTGTTTAATGTTCAGTTATGTTGGACATTTAAAAGAGTTCCTGTTGTTTGTTTTTGTGGTTAGTATTGTAAGAGCTTGTGGTTAGGTTGTGCGATGCATCATTCAAAGAAGTTATTTGCATTTGTATACGCAAAAAGTTAAAAATGTTAACTTTTAAATAACTTTATTTTAAAATTGATTGATTTTGAGACTGCCACTTCCTCTACAAAGTGTACACTGTTCATGTGCAGCCACTGGCCCCTCCTCCATAGGACACTCATGTGCACAAGACATCCACAACCTAAAGAAAAGTGCCACTCTTCACACAGTCGTAGCCCAAAAACAGACATATACATACATACTGAACTTTTCATTCTAATTCTAACATAACATTTTTAAGTAAAACAAACATATTAGGGCATTAGCCTACATATTTAGGGCACTGGGAAAATTGTGTTAAAACACAAACATTGTATTTAATGGTTGCTTTACAACGTTAATAAATCTCTATCTTGACTTTATTGGTTAATTTAGAACGTTTAGGCTTGCTTTTAAATATGTGTGTGAATGCAAAACAATTAAAAGAGGACGCTGTTTTTTTTTTTTACATGCACTCAGATAAGCTTTAGAATGCTTTGAGCAAAGGTCAACAGTAACCATAGAAGCTGCTGCTTTCACTTCCATCCACTTCACAAGTGAACGCATCTGAGCGCAGTTCATCGAAACTTCATCTGCTCATCAGATATGCAGGATGAGAAGATTACTTGGAATACTTGTACTTTTGAAATATTGCATTTGCGGTGATGTGGTGAACTTTGATTCAGACATCAAGGATTTTGTAGTTGGTAACGGTAAGTTATTTGTTCTTACTGACCATCGACTACATCAGATGAGCCACGATCTATATGAGGAGAAGAGGAAAGACATCACTGATGCCACTGAACACAACAGAGTCAACATTCTGGTGCCTTTTGACGCCAACAACACCCTGATAACGTGTGGGACTTTTAATGATGGATATTGTGAAGTTCTTGATATAAATGACATTACAAACAGCATTTACTATGAAAGTAATATACTGATAGGACCGCGACAGGATGAGAAATATGTTGCCTTCATAGCCGGTACAGGTAGCAGTAGGTACCTTTTGGTTGGGAAAAAAGACGACGATGCAAAAGCTCAGGATACCAGGTATTCTGTTGTTACCTTGTGGAACACTTTACAGTCTCAGTATGGTGGGATTTTCTCAAAAATAGCAGAAGGATCAGATGCCAGCATTCAGAGCACTGTGAGAGATGTGAAGTTTGTTGGCGGATTCCAGAGAGTTTCGCCCTCAGAATCCTACTTATTTCTCAACGCAAAGACTGGCTCAGAGAGGAAAGTGCTCGTCCTGTGGATGAACAGCTCTAAAGGAAAAAAGAGAGACATCATCAAATCCCTACAGGCTGCAACGGTACGATGCTGCAGTGATAAAGCTCGTCCAGTGCTCGTCGCCTGCACTGTTATTCCCTCAGTGAACAGCGTTATTTGGGCAGGTGTGTTCAGTGCGCAGAATCAGCAGGATCCGGAGAACAGCGCGCTGGCTCTGTACGACATCAGGAGCATTCAAGGCCGAGTGAAGGGCTTCTGCGCTTATGGTAAAACCCCATGTGGTTCAGAGGTTGGAAATTGCATTCCTATGCTTGCTTTTTTTTTTTAAGGAGAACAGTATTTCACCTTGTTGAGCCATGGATAAGATTTGTAATAGAATGTTGCAAGATAAACGTATATTGTTTTGTTCACTCTTTGAATAAAAACTGTCAATGTAAAGTTTCATTTGTTTGTGTTTCAGAGTGATACTGAACTTCAGCCGCTCTCTGTGGTGTTCAAGTACAGCTCAATGTCAGCAGTGGCAGCAGTTAGAAGTGGATGATTGTGCTGTTCATAGGAACCAGTGATGGTCAACTAATAAAGGTCTCCTTCACTTCTATCTCATACACATGTGCATTTATTTTCACAATTCTCAATGAGTTTTCATTTCTAAATACCTGCACCATTTCCATTTACACATATAGCTCTAAGCTGTTCAGTGTATTTGAACTAGGCTACTTCAGTCATAATAATTCATGATTTGTATTTCTGTTTGTTTTTCTAGCTTGTGTTGGATGAGAAATTCACTCCAGGATGTCCAACAGTGCTGCTGAAATCTGATGGTGAACGAGCAGTGTTTCCCAGAATGCACTTTGATCCAGTAGATTTCAAACATATTTTCATCGCTCTGAGGAAACAGGTGAGGTTTAAATAATTTAGCCATGGGCGTAGAATGTGCCAGGGATGTGCGCGATGTGTCCCCTGCACAGATAAAGTCTTCCCCCACACATTTCATGGGACAAATTTGTTCACGTAGAGGTTTTCATGGACCAATGTGTATGTATAAATCTAGGATTTAAAGCTCCTTATAATATACAGTAATGTGTTAATTTGATCCTGGCTATCTGGGGAAAAGAAATAAATCAAATCAAAATTGATACCATGGTTTAACCACTACATGCCTGATAAGCCCTATTTATATACTTACAGGGGTGTTTAATCCCGTACTATTATTAGGTTTTTCATTTGGATATATGTTTAGAAATGATCAAAGACTACTTTTATCAAAGTTTAGATTTCAAATACATAGTCTTTTTTGTAATAGTGTGGTTTGAGTGACATTTTTATTTCTTTCCTAAACCATTGACTGTAGAAAAGTAAAGAATAGAATAGAATAGAATAATAGAAAAACTTGTATTATAGTTTAAATTATGTCCCCCTCACTTATGAAATGATGGCTATGCCCCTGGTAACAGCACATAAATAAATATTAGAATGAATATAGCGGTCTGCTATACATGTTGTCCATTAACAGATTTTTTTTCCTTCTTTTTGTGTATTTATTATTGTTGACTCTTCATAAAAAACAACATATTTTTTTCTAGATGGTGCAGTACAATTAGATCATTTAGACATTAGTCTTTTTTTTGGAAAGAATGCTTAAAATATAGCTGAAATTAATATTAAAAACCTCTTAACAAAAAGAAAAAGCTGGCTTTATAGAATGACTAAAATAGTGCTCATGTTTCTTATGTACTGCAGTTAAGAAGAGTGTCTGTGGTTTTGTGTGCTAAATACAGCACTCTGAAAGACTGCAGAGCTGCTTTGGATCCTCTCTGCGGCTGGTGTGTGAGCACACAAAGGTCCGTCTGTCTTTATTAGTCTATCTGTCTGTCTTTATCACCCTGTGATATTTCACACATCACACATGGTATCTGCTCTAGGTTGCATCTACACTAAATATGCCTAATTGTAGAACAGCATGTTAACTTCTTATCTTCTATATAGACAAGATGAGCAGTGTGCAAACAGTTCTGTAGTGATATATTGGTTGATGCTGTCTTTATCTAGATGTTCTACTCAAGATGAATGCTCGAATACTTCATGGGTGTCCATCCCAAAAAACTCTCTTCAGACACGGCTGTTTTCTTTTCAGATGGCAGAGAATTCTTCTAGAAAGGTAGACATCAATATCGTATTAAAAAAGTATTTTCTTAATTATAATTTAAAATATTTAC